ATAAACAGAATTTTCATGAGACTTGATGAGATGGGCAGTCCAGGTACAGAGAAGAGTATGAGCAAAGACACTGAGGCATGAAACTACATGTGTGTTGGGGAAATCACAAGCAGCTTGATATTGCTGGAACGCAGGCTCAAGGTGAGCAACGTGGAAATGTTTCATTGAAGAGGCTACCGATACCCATGTAACTGAAAATGTGCATTTTCGTTTGCAGATGATTATATATGCCTACTGTCTTTCCATAATACATCAATCAGCCTGTAGCTGGAGCAGTGCTGACACACAAATTTATTATATGATTTTGTTTTTGCTTGAATTTATCACAGAGCAATTTCCCCCGTCTCTGCTCATATTTGTTCTGTTTCCCTTCTGCACTCTCACCTTTTGCTCATTTCCCTCCTTAATGTAGTAATCCGGGTCCCTTCCCTCTTGCATAGTCTCCTCCTATATCAATCTGAGTCTATCGACAGCCTCATAGGTCATCCTCTTGTCTAATGTCAGGCAACTCAGCTTCTCTGACATTAAGAACTAAGCCCACATGACCTTCAGAGCCAAGCCAGAGCAGCTTCTCTGGCTAAACACAAAGTTAAGAATGTAGACTTTGAGGCCTGGATATGTCTGTCGTTCCTCATCACTGTGTAACTGGGCTTCCTCAGGCATCTGTAACAGAGGTGACGAACACTGCACAGAGGACATGTGAATATTAAAATGTGCAATAAGTGTAAAGAATGTAGCTGAGAGTCTGGCCCTTAATAGTTATTGCTAATTATAAATTCGAAGTGTCTAGTGATTGCCATACCTAAGTCACACACATACACAGGGCGATTTAATTTGGTAGCTATTTACCTTGACTTTATCTGCTTGCCTGGAAAGCTGTGGGAGGCAGTGCTGCCATGTTACACAACTCCAATTAGAACGATGCCTCCTGGGGTTGTGCAATATGGCTACTCCGAGAAGGCAAAGGCGAGCAGGCTTTTCTCTGCAGTTAGTTTCTTTCTATAGTCTGTATATTTTAACTTCATCAATAAATTACTTTAATGTTTCAAAGTGCCAATAGGGTCTGTGGGCAGGGACATGAAAGGATTTTGTAATTTCTTGATCTCTAGTTCGTGCTGTTTCTTATTTAAAAAATAAAACAAAACCAGTAAGGATGTGTAGAAGTCAAGCCAATGGGTATTAGTTAAGATTTTAGGAGATGGGCCAGAATTACTTGCTGGCAAAGAGGAGGTGAGCACAGAGTCATGGACCAAGCAGGCCTGGTTGTGGATAACGAATATAATCATGTTACACCCTAGTTTGCATGGGTAAGGGAGCCAATAAATTCAACCACTTTAGGTAGCTTCTGGTACCCACATGAGATACTGTGTGTATAAAGCACTCAGCACGTAGGCTGTAAATTATGGCTTCTCAATTCATGGGAACTTTGCCCATTTTTTTTATGGTTTGTGTGTTGCTTTCCTGGTCACCAGCTTAAACATGGTTAGAGTGAAGATACTAGTTAAAACTGATAATTAAGTTGGGGCTGCTATTAGGACTGGTAGTTAGAATCCTTAATAGATTAGGGTTAGGATTAAAATTAGAATTCAATTAAGGTTAGAATTAAAATTCGTACTGAGGTTATTATTAAGGATGGTGTTAATTAAAACTGGATAATAGAAGTAAGGGGTGGTATTGCCAAGTACTGGTTTAGTTGGGTGGAAAATTGAAGATGAAAGCAGTGTGGGAACCTGCATAGAGTCTGCTGATAAAAGTCACAGAGAGGAGAAGGGTCCCAGTGCCAGGAGGGATCTGAGTGACTGCTGGGTCACATCTTCTCGGATGTACTTTTGTCTATAGGTGCATCTTATCCCTCCCAAGTGAACACATAAAACTCACCCTCTACAAGCTGAGTTACTTCTTTCTCCCCTGGGAGCAGAAGCTGCGTGGGGAAGGAATGCCCAGGGCCCACACAACTGTGTCTAGCCCGGCATCAGTGCCAGTATCACATTCCACACCCCCAGATAACCAGGCTGTTGCTGAGTGGCCAGGGGCATTCAGGCGGCCACACTCACCCTCTCTCCACTCCCCTTGTTGGCTCTCCCCAAATTTCACCAAGGCTGCCAGCTCTGTCTTCCCACAGACAACCCACCTCAGACCTCATGCAAGTCTTTGGGAAATGCAAATTGTATGTCATAGCATTTTTAAGTGGAGAGTAACCATAGAGATCACAATCCAACATAGATACTTACGTTCTACCTATTTTTATGATAGGATAATCCTTGTAGGTCAGTCCTTTCCTTGTAAAGCCCCTTTCCTAAGTAAATGACATGCATGTAAGATGCAAAGGGGCTGATGCAGACAGGACAATAGAAGAATTGTAGAGAATGGGTTCTTCTACATGGAATGCATTCTATATAGGAGAAACTGCCATTGTGAGGTGAACAGGAGAAGAACTCTTAACGGAGGACATTGATCTCAGTTACTAGGTCTGATTCTCCTCATTTTTCTGCCTTCAAAGGCACTACTTCAAGGCACTACTTGCTACCTGTCCCTTATCCAGTCCTGACAGCCTTCTCTAGCTTGCTGTTGAGCACAGAAAGTCACTTGGCTTCTGAGCTTCATTTTCCACATCTGTTCAACAAAGACCCCATTTAAAGGCATGGTCTTGAAGGTCCTTTGCAGCTCTAATACGTTTTTGTTCCATACTTCTAAGAGCCAATGGCAACTTCATATTACCAAGACCTCAAAGTCTTCCAAACTCAAGCTGATGATACAATGAAGGGAACAAGAGCCAGTAGGAAAAGAGCACCCCAAGGTCTCATTTGCTAGACTTTATACTGTCTCTCCAAAACAGCTGCCCCTCCCTCCCACCCGGGTACCCACCCCTTACAGTAGAGGGCAGGGCCAAAGCAACAGTCATCAGAGAATTAAGGACAGGCAGAAGGGGATTGCTGTGATGCAGCAGATGGAAAAGATGGTTAATTAAAGGACTTTGGGACTTAATCCCACATCCCGCCTACCCCCACCTAACTCACCTCCACCCCCCTTTACCCTGTCCTCTCTAAATCCCACTTAGTTGATGGCTAAGACTAATGTTTCTTTATACATCAAGAGCCTTTAACTAGAAAAGCCCGATCCTTCCCAACAAGGCTGATTGTTTTGCTGTTTGGTTTTGTTTTGCTTTACCACACGCCTTCCTTTTCTTATCATAACCAACCTCATATCAACCTGGTCTCACTTCAAGCATCAAGATGTGTCATCTTCCTACAATCTCCCCTGTCCAGTCTCCTCCCCCTCTTATATCCATGTCTCCATGTCCCTACAATACATGTTACTCCATCTTCACTGCTCAGATTTCAAGATAGTAGAGAGCTCAGGGAGGCAAAATGATTTGGAGTCGCCAACACAGGTCAAATCAGACCTTGTTCAATATTGTCTAGGGAAAAAATAATAACCACCCAGACAGTCAGGAAATGTCCAAGAGGCAAGCAGATTTCTTCTCTAGAAACTATAAACTCTAGAAATAGTGAGAGAAAAATATCAGAGCAGACCCAGACCAGCCTGCAGGGGTTCCCTGAACAGTATTCTCTCAGCCCCAACTTCACTGCCTGCCATTTAGACAAGGCTTTACCTGTTAAAGAGTATGTTCTCCAGGCTGTCCTCGGGTTCTTAGATGACAGGGACATTAACTACATCACCATCAAGAGTTAAGAAACCGTGACATAGAGAAGGAAAGATTACCCAAACGTTAAAGGCTAGCACAAGAAGGCAGCGTGGAAATGGACTGGAGACGTTGTTAGAGACACCCACATCCCACTTCTGGAATGAAGCTTCATACACCCTTCCAGATGATGCCCAGTGCTGTGTCTCCCACTTCTAAGTGAATATAAAAATGGGCCTACAGCTGCTAACTTCCTTTGGATTAGATCAGGTTTTCATTTATTTATTTATTTTAGAACTCTTAACACACCTAAAATTTCCTGATTTTCAGGACTCTAAAATTTAGAAATTTACTCCCCCAAGCTAAATGCCAGCAAAACTAAGCCAGAAAGATCCTTTTCTGAAATATACCAAAAGCTCTTCCGGAGATAACCAGGAAGCAGAGCAAACCCTGGGGACTTGGGACTCTTGAGTGTGAGCAAATGCAAACACTGTCTTTTTCATCCATCTTCTATACAGCCTTGGAGACCAGAGTTGCATCCTTAGCACTGTTTCTTGGTTTGTAAGAGGGTCTGTGGGTCTGCCTTTCACCGTGGGTTCTTACTAGCTAAAAGTTGAGAGGGTAAGAATCTCTAAACAGACTAAAAGGAAGGGGTACTGAAGGGCTAGCTGGGCTAATGGGGAACAGGAGTGCATGAAGGAAGGAAGCGCCAAGTTACTTTGCAGGACACTTCCTTGCTTTAGGATCTGGGACGATGTCTTTGAAGAAGGCTTGAGAGAAACTGAGTCTTGTGGCCCCCTGTTTTGCTAAGGAGATTGCCTGGAGCCACAAATTGTTGCTGGACAGATAAGTAGAGGGTCTCCTGCAAGAAGGATTAAGGAAGCTAACGCTTAGGAGAATGGCCTGAGTAAGTAGGTACCCTGAGGAGGTATTCTTGGTCACACTGCTGATAGGGGTGCCCTAGCTTTGGGGATCCCGGTTGCCTAAGGAGAAGGCGGGGCCAGAGGATCTCAGGCTAGTGGGCACGCCCTTGCCCAGGCCTGCAGTGGACGCTCCCGCCAGCTGGCCCACCGCCCTGCCCACCTCCCCTCTCTCCACCCTAAGCATAAGAGGGGTGCGTGTGGGGTCCCACTGATGTGCCAGCTCCCTCCCTTTGCTCCACACCCGAGTGGTACTGGAGGAGCTCCCGGGGGGAGAATATGGAAGGCACCACAAAAGCGCGGAGGGGGTGTGGGAGGCAGGGGGGGAGTAGGGAATGCGGCATCCAGGCCCCCCCGCCACCAGCCCAGCCCCCCGCCACCCCCCTCCACCTCCAACCGAATGGTTTGCTCCGAGCGCCCTATTTAATCCCGGCGACTGCAGCAGCGCCGGCTCCCTCCCGGTACCCGCCTCGGCCCCGGGCTTGGAAGCCGCTCCGGGGGCGCCCTTTTGGACAGCGACGCCGTCTACCAAGCCCCCGGACCCAGTCCCCGGAGAGCCAGGCTCGCCAGCGCCCAGCCGGGGAGGCGGCCAGGAAGCGCGATGGGGGCCCCTTCCGCCTTGCCCCTGCTCCTGCTCCTCGCCTGCTCCTGGGCGCCCGGCGGGGCCAATCTTTCCCAGGACGGTGAGTGAGGGAGGGGGGCGGCGCCAGGGGAGGTGACCAGTGCCCCGAGGTGGGGGTTCGGAATGGGAGTCGGGCTCAGGGAGCCTGTTGGCTTTGTTCGGAAGCTAGGGTTCAAGTCGCTAGCCTCTTGGAATACCCTTGTGTCTGTCTCTGAGCATCGCTGTCTCTGAGGACCGTGGGGTGTGCCGGCGTGTGCACCCTCCTATGTGCACGGACAACTGTGTGTGTCTGCGTGTGCAGCAGGGGTCTGGATCTCCGGGGGTTGCTGTCTATTTTGAGCAGCCGGGGTCTGGATGTGTTGATGTCCGTGTGTGTCTGGGTGTGCGCGTCTATGTTGGTGTCTGGTGCTGCGTTTCTGTGTCAGAGTCTGTGTGTATGTCTGTGTCAGTGTGTGTTGGGGGCGGAGTGAGATTTGTCGCTGTTTCAGTCAGGGCGTGTGTTGGGTGTTTGTGTATGTATGTCTGTAGGGGTTGGGTGGCCAGAACGATCCCCCAAACTGCTGTATGCAAACATTTCTGCTCCCCCGCGCGTCCCCCACCCGCCGCGGAGCTCTGAGTGGGCAGGGAAGGGGGCCTGGGTGAGGCTGTCGAGGGGGGCGTGGGCAAAAGAGAGGGGGCTTCTCCTTGAAGCAAAACAACAACACAGGGCGGAGGGGGCTCCAGTTTGGCTCTAGTCCTAGTGGTGGCAAAATCTGGGAAAGGAAACCTATACTTGGGTGCGGGGCAGTAAAAGGAGAGAGCAAGATATTTGGGGAGAAGGATCGATGGGAAGCCCAAAGCTTTCCTGGGCTGAACATCTATTTCTCCAAATTTAGGGTGGGGTAGCAGACTAGCCTCCTAGCCCCAGTCTGCAACTCAACCCTTCTTGGGCTTGCAAAGGTGAAGGAAGGGAGTGAGGGGGGTAAAGAAAGGAGGCGGGGCCAAGGGAGAGGGGACTTGGGGAAGAGCCCCTCCCGCCCCAGGCCAGGCTATGTAGGTCAGCGCTGTGGGGGCATCTCAGCCTTCTTAAATGCTGCTGCTGGTTAACGGGGTGGCTTGGAGAACTGTGTAGAAATAAGAAGAAAGGTGCCCCAGCTCAGAGCCTCAGGTCCCCGGAGGAGGGAGGACTGGCAGTGGAGGGACTAAAGGAATGCATACTCCTCCTCTGTTTCTGAGTCTGTCAGAGGTGGGCTGGGTGGGGGAAGGGAAAGGGGATGGAAACAGGACCTCTGCGGAGCAAGGGGAAGTGGGGAGAGTAGAGGGCGGGTGGTGGCTATGCCCGGCCAGATGCCAACGAAAAAAACAGAAAGAACCGCAGGGGAGGAGAAAGGGGAGGTGGTTTCTGGGCGATGGACCCAGTGGCCAGCAGGGATGGGCACAGGGCGGGGCGGGGTGGAGAGGGGAGGGGTTGGAACTGGGGAGGATGATGTAGAGAATTTTGTCTGAGGAAAGCCGGCTGGGAGCCAGGGTGCTGGAGGAATAATAGCTCCACCTTGCCTGACCTCCTCCCCTTACCCTGTCTCCATCCTGGCAAAGGAGCTTCCCTTGGTGTGGGGACCCTGGGGATCCCCTCTCTACAGTTGGTTGGCTGACTCCTTCCACTCTGTACTCCCCAAACTCCCCAAAGGGAGTTCCTGCTGTCACCACAGAGATGGAAGACTCTTCTCTTGTACACGGAATCCCCTTCCCCAGAGGACAGCACTGGTGACCCTGCTCACAGAGATGAGCAGTCCTGGGGGGCAGTGGACTTACTCTAAGGCAAAACTGGGACACTGGGTGTTTGTGCCTCAGTAATGAGTCTCCTATAAGGCCTTAACTTTTAGTGAAACCCCTGGCTTTCTCATACTCATAGCAGAATCAAAGAAACAAGTTCCAAACTACAATCCCTTGGCAATGGGAACTAAGAGTGCCAACCTAACACCTGGAAAAAGAAAATGATCATGTCTGTAGGCTTCAGGCTTTTCTCCTTTAGAACATAAATGGTAGAGACTGGAGTAAACCTGTTCAGTGACAACACCTCCCTTTACCCAATGCATGACAACTCTTTCTTGATCTTCAACTTGGGAGCCTAGGCACTTTTGAGCTTAAAGTTCAAAGAAAGAATTGCTCTCTTCTCAGCTTGGAAATACAGTAAGAGAAGAAGCCTAGAGGAAAGAGGGAAAAGAAGTAACTTCTGTATAAGGAATTGTAGAGAATGGATCAGAAAAAAAGGGAGAGCTAGGACACCCTTTTCAAACAAAAATCCAAGCAAGCCTCTGTGGAGAGTGCAATATTTACCCTGATGTTTGAAATATAACTACCAGGTATCCTCTATCAAATTAATTCTGTACCTTGATTTCTGGGTCTAATAAGGTAAGCCCCAACGATGGGAAATAAGTGCATAGATTATGGATGCCAGTCCTGAAGGCTACTCTGTCTAGCATCATGAAGGTGGGTCTAGCATCCCTGAGTTCTCCTGGGGCTCCTGAGCAGAGTGCTGGGTAATGCTTAACTTAACCTATAGAGTTTGACCCAAACTAGGAACGATGTGTTGTGAAGACTTAAGGACAAAACAACCCAACATGATGAAGTTTAGATGGTCAAGGGTGCTATGACTGGGAGGTTAATTCCACTGAGAACGAGAAAAACAAACTTCATGTACTGCTGAGGTGTAAAGCTCCCTTGGGTACAGCATAAATATTTAATACTCACAAGGATGAGCAGAGATTGAGAAGCTGAGACAAGGCAGGGCCAGCAAATTCTATCTGAACCTGACCATTAATGCTGTGACCACAACCTTAGGAATCTGCCACCTGCCCTCCCTTCTGGTCTTTCTCCACTAGGATTTTCAGACATTGACAGCTCCAGTTTGAGAAACACAAGGCCTGTGAACTTAATGCATCCTGTGGTCATGTCTCTGGCGAGCACCTTGACATTCAATATTGTGACCAGCTTTCTTACGGCCCTTTATTCCCAAGTTATTTTCAGTACAGTGATTTAACCCAGTGGATGGACAAACCTTGCTTTGCTTTAGCCCAGGTTATAGCAACTTAACCTTTAACTGTCCCACACATGCATTTTTCTTCCTTCCCAATGACCTTCTGTCCACTGCCATGCATTCTGCAGCCCCCTGGCCAGGTGCCCAGTGTGGAGATCATGCCCAATGTGCCGGAGAAGCCCAGCATTCTCTATAGTGCTGCCCACGGATCTGCTTGGCAGATCTGCTCCATTGAGTTTCTGTTCCTTGTTATAGCTGTAAGAGTTCTGTCTGTTTTTATTTCTGTTCTCTTCTTGGTTCCAGCTTTAATTCTTGTGAAGGACATACTCTCCCTTAATATTTGCACATAATCTGAGAAGAGGAAGTTGAGGCCATCAGAGAGGCACTGGAATGACATAGTTAATTCACGGAGCATTCAGTTTGTCTAATGTAGAATGTCAAATGACTACCCAGCAATTATGGCCAGACATCGTATCATAAGTTTAGCCTAGTCCTAGGTGACATGGTTGGTTTTGACAGTTTTCTCTGGGCCCCTGGTCTCTCACTCATAAAGGAAAACAGACCACAGGAGAATTGCCAAAATGAAGATTTTTAGTCTTTGCCCCATTCTTGGCTTCTCTGTATTCTTTAAGCTACACCTGGCTTTTGCTACAGTCCAGCATTCTCTTCCCTCCACTGAAAGTCAGCTGAGCCATCAGAGTGCACTTAGACTTCCTTTCTTCCCTCTTCCAAATGAGGAAAGAAGACCTAGTCCAGTTTCAAGAGTGACATGTTGGAGATATTCAGTATCTACTTGAAGTGGGTGACTCACAGTTCTGCAGCCATAAAATCCCACAGATGGCATCTTTTTGGTGTTCTGGTCATGTTGAAATAGCAGTCGGGATGTGATGCCATTGCTCTGTGAACCCTTAGACTGGACTTAGGCATTTCCTATTGCTGATCACTGTGCTTTTTTGTATCTAATATGTAGAATGGTGTTTAAAGCTGCTTTTTCTTAAGTCATGTGGTAGAGAAAAAAATCTCACAGTTGTCAGAGAAAGAAAACCCTTGGGGCTGTGCCTAGTCACATTCTTCACTGTTTCCTACTCCAGTGGAGCTGCCTACTGGCTCCACGATCATTTTTTTTGTCATCTGAGTCTCAGTAAAGGAATGTCGTCTAAGGATGGCAGTCTAAGCTCCTGATTCTCCTGGAGGCAGTCAGCTTCTTGCTGAATGAAAAATCTAGAGTATTAGAAAATTGGAGTAATTTAATCTTCTTTTTTAATTTTTTCTCTATAGTTTTGGAGTTTTAACATGCAGACTCATGAATGCTAGACAAGCTCTCCACCACTAATCTCTACTCTAACCCAAGATCTTCTTTTATTTTTAATGTTAGAGTACAGTGCTTCCTGTTCAACCATTGGCTACAGGCCAATATGATGGAACAGTTTGCTTCCTGTATGGGGTCATGTCCTAGATGTCTACACATAGGCTGTGAGAATAGCAATTCCCTCAGGAATGTTTATAAGATAGATGGTGGGAAGGAGAGAGGGAGAGAGAGAGAGAGAGAGAGAGAGAGAGAGAGAGAGAGAGAGAGAGAGAGAGAGAGAGAGAGAGAGAGAGAGAGAGAGAGAGATTCAGGTCCCTAAAAACACAGTCAAACTAAGGATAAACATTCTATATCAAAATCCATTTGTGCTGCCAGGACCAGCAGTGGTGATGGTTCTCTGTAAGGTCAGAAGTGGCTGGTGCTCAGGCTTTTACACTATGCAAGCAAAATCCCAAACTAGCATTGTAGCATGTGACAGGGATGTCCCTCCATTCTAATCCTGAAAAAACAGCCTCTCAGGAATACAACACATACAACTACTGAGATATTTTTCTACATATAGTGGCCCATTAAAGCTACATACTCATCATTCATTCAATTAGCAAGTATTAAAGACTCACTTATCAATTTATCAAAATTTCCTTAAGTATAAAAGCCAGTGAGTAAATTTCTCCAATAAAACAAAGGGTTTTTAAGCCCTGGTGACACCACTCTTTTTTTGTGGGGGGATTGTTTT